AGAAATACCCACATGAAAAGCCACTTTGTTGAGTCATCATTTGTGGGCAGGTCACTTCTGAAAACGAACTATATTGCTCAGTGGGACGGTAAAATAAAAATCTTTAGTTTGTGATTGTTTTAGTTTAAGTCCCACAGTTCCTCCTTTAATGTTTAACAATGATTTTCGTATCCAAAGTGAACCCGTTATTCTGCTTTGCACAACAATCTCATCTGGCCGGTCGTGTAATGGCTCTTTCACTCATCTGGCTAAGGATGCATCGAAGAAGCTTGGTTTTATTTCCACGCCAAACCCTTCATCTGTAACTCCAAACAATTATTAGTGCCATACACGGCACATATTCGGCCGAATGCGGATTGCTGTTGTCATTTCCGGGGTAGGAGCAAGGGACCAATTCAAACTTCACTGCACTTGATGAGATTGAACGTACAGCGGTCATGGTGATTGATGATCGTGCACTCACTCATTCACTCCAGTGGTCAGTCACCCCCTCGTCACTCTTCTACCACTGTTACCATGGCGACTGTTCTCATGGACTTCACGCGTTGATTCATCCACGTTGAGGACTCGGGCAACCAAACCGTTTAGTCCCATCCACACTGTGAGCAGCCACCACCACCACCACCACACTGTAGGCCACAACAACACACTCACCCACCCGCAAAACAAAGACAAAGATCCCCCTATAGCCCTAACAAACTGTTGGGGCAAGTGCTGTTAGCGAGCACCTATGAAGGCCGGCACGGCACACGAGGGGGTGGGTGGCCAGCACCACGCCCGACCGCCTTTGTCTCCTGAGTGGCAATGTTTACACACCACATCTGGAACTCAATTAAGGCTCAGTCGACCTAGGGGAGGCTCAGCATCGGTTCATATAATCGTCACTGGTGTTACCCGTGAACGGGAATCAAACTCGGGTTGTCAGTTTCGAAGCAAAGCACGCTAACCGCTTTCCACCGATTCCCACTCGCTTATTCACTCACCCATCCACACACTCGTTCACTCACCCACTCACCCACCCACCCACTCGCTTATTCACTCAACCCATCCACCCACTCACCCATCCACTCACCCACTCACTCACCCATCCACTCACCCACTCGCTCACTCACCCACTCACCCACCCACCCACTCGCTCATTCACTCAACCCATCCACCCACTCACCCATCCACTCACCCATTCACTCAACCATCCACCCACCCACTCACCCATTCACTCACCCATTCACTCACCCATCCACCCACTCACCCACCCACCCACTCGCTCATACACTCACCCATCCACACACTCGTTCACTCACCCACTCTTCACTCACCCACTCGCTCATTCACTCACCCATCCACCCACTCATCCATCCACCTACTCACCCACCCACCCACTCACCCATCCACTCACCCATCCACTCACCCATCCACTCACCCATCCACCCGCTCGCCCATCCACTCACCACGCAGCAGTTCACTTTCCTTTCTGTTTCTTTCCTCGCACTGCTCCGCTTGGGCACTCCCTGGCATCGTCTCTTTCCTCCAAGCTCTTAGAACTTTCATGGTGCTGTTTGTTGCTGGCCGCTTGGAATTGTTGTTGAACCTTTGGGATACGCGCTCAGCAACTGTGCTTCACATGTATATAATGTATAGAGCACAACTGAAAGCTATTTCGCGAAGGTGTGTAAAATGTTGTGTTGACCGTCCTTCAACCTTGTTCAGCAATTTTTCTTGCCTTTATTCGAGAGCTAAGCAGTTTTATAATGTTTGGATATTTGCTGAGCATCAACAAAATCGCGTGTTTACATGAATGCTTTATTCCGTGTCTTTATTCTTTTGAGTTTAGTATACTCGTAAAAGTGCAAATACAACAAGATTCATTGCAGAGGTTTATATACGGTAGAAATCAATCTTGCACTCACGTTCACCCTCAGCAACATGAACCTAGAAGGCATTTGCGTGAGTTCCGTTTCGCTGGAACGTTGCTGCCTTGCCCGCCATGCGGGCTGCAGGCGATGCCGTTACACACCCAGACACACCCATACACACATACACACCCACACACACATACACCCACACACACACATACACACCCCCATACACACACACATACACACCCACACACATATACACCCACACACACATACACCCACACACATACATCCACACACACATACACACCCACAAACACACACCCATACACACATACACACACATACACACCCACACACACACACCAAAGACTTACCAGACTGTCGGTGCAATTGCTATTAGCGAGCACCTATGAAGGCCGGAACGATACACGAGGGGGTGGGTGGCCAGCACCACGCCCGACCGCCTTTGTTTCCTCAATGGCGATGTTTACACACCGCACCAGGTACTAATTTGAGGCTGAGTCGACTTAGGGGAGGCCCATGACCGGTTCAGATAATCGTCACTCATGGTGTTGGCCGTGAACGGGAATCGAACCCGGGTGGCCGGGTTCCCAGCGCGGCGTAGCGCTAACCGCTCCCGCCACGGGTCACCTCTGTGCTCTGTATCGACTTGTCCTGACCGTCGGATGCCTTTCCAATATTCAGAACAGTTGGACACACCGCGCCCGGGAGACACGGCGAGAGCTTTGGAAATAAACTGCCTCGTTGCGTTGTTCTATTGTGCGCCCGGTGACTGATGGCTGTGCCCCTGTTCCCGCGGGTAATTGTGCCAAAGCCGTTCCCCCCCATTGGGAATGTCGACATAATGGGAGCGATGAAGGGCGCTGGCGCTCGGCACGGTGGAACATCGGCACCGGCACTTGCCGTGGCGGCCTCACGTTCGTGAAACAAAGTTACCGTGCCGACGGTGCCACGGTGGCTTTGTGTACGGCGTTTTAATGAAATTTTCCCCGGCTGTGCCTCTTGCCACATACCAAACAAGCGTTCGTCAACAGAACTAAAAAACAGCACGCATTCAAAGTGAATGCGTGGTTTTCCAAAGCGTAATGCAAATTAAGTCTTGAGTGCATATGTCGTCAACCTTGCGGTGTCAGCGACTGGGCAAGGAATCTGTTCCTCAATAACAAAGTAGATCACCGCATGCCACAGTGCCCCAGTCGTGTGAGCATCGCAGAGCAAACCACTAAACACCCTTTAAAAGTCATTCATAACAAAAACAGAAAATCAATAATTCCATCTAAAACCACTTGGATACTAAGGGGTTGAATGCCCCCAATCTATTTGGGATTGACCTGAGCATTTATCCATTGTTCAACAGAGAGTGGCCAGTTGGAGGCACACTGAAGTCAGTGTCGACTGTTGTACATCACGTAAGCATTCGTTGTACAGACACACACGCTCGTTATCAAACCTCGTGGGGACGTAGGTATGGAAACGACACAGATTTACAGACAGGAAACGGGTAAATTATGAAAAACATTTCATGAACTCTGATGACATGCTGTGGGAAAATAGCGGTGAATTCACAGGTTATGCATGTTCATTGAAAGTACGGACGGCTAGATTTACAAAAAATTAAATTTGCTTTTTGCAAGAAGTAAATACATAAAAACAAACAAAAAATGTACACCATGACAAACGATAGCAAGATTAACAAAAAGCAAGCACCAGTGTTTCATAAATCCCTCGAAATTACAGATGATAAAAGATAAATACATGTCAGCACCATCATCATTGGCAGCTTTGTTCATTCCACTGCTGGATGAAGACTTTCCCAAGTGGCGGCCACCTTCCATGATCCTGCAATGCAGCACTGCACCTAATGGGGTTCATATTATATGTGTATAATACTATATGAGTATAATACTATATGTGTATATTACATACAGCATGTTACTATACATGTAACAATGCATTTATTGAACTTGTTTTGCATTTAATTGCAATGCCACTTTATTTCTCTAATTTGGTTTATGGCTTTGTTCTAGTTTCTAAAAATCATTAATAAAAAAAAACCACTACTTTAAAGGTAAGATATTAAATATTCCCCATAATGTGTTCTGGAGGAGGTTTCAAGTCACTATTTTAATGGCTTGCGCCACATATTTTATGCAGAGTAAAGTCGCGCGAGGTGTCTGCAAATCACTGCCGTTCGGTGCTCCACTCTCGTTGCGCTAAGCGAGCGGCGGCTGGAACACTCGGGGCCTGCCACGAAACACCGCACGATGAGCGATCCGCGATGAGTGAGGGCGATACCGACGATCACGTGGATACATTTGACGAGGTCGCCCGCGTTGTTTCTGGACGCGACGATAAAAACGAGGACGTACAAAATCTGCTCTGATGGGGTTTAGCGATCGTCACGGTCAATGTTGCGACAGTGTTTAACATTACGCACTTGATCGTCATTACGCTTCGATAGTAAACTTTTCACGATGAGTTGCAACAGGTCTCGCGCACGTGCGTTCGTGCGTACGAGGAATGGTGGCGATTGTGGTTGGCGCATTGAGATGGAGTCCTGACACCATAAATTCTTGGCCATTAATATCTGTGGATACTGGTAAATGAAATATATAAAGCATTACAACTGTCATGCCTAAGACTGTATATACAGTTGTGAGATGTTAACTACCTCACCACGGTGATGAAATGTTAACTGCCTTGCCTGGTATACAGGAGATTGTGGATTCGATCCCAAACCTGACACCTATATATTTGGGGTTTTCATGTCTCTCTCCCTGTGGTCGCGTGGATTTTTCTCCGGGTCCTCTGGTTTTTCCCTCCACATTTAGAATCAACGTGCATTCAGAGTATTTGGCTGCTATTAATGTCCACGTAATAAGCCACTTCGTTATCATATGTGGCATGGTCGCTTCTGAAAAAGATATATATAGCTCAGTGGGCATTACCTGGTAAAATAAAAAATAGTTTGAGTTTAGTAATTTAAGAACCACCATTGGCACCGTGGGAGAGCAAAGATGGTTTGACAGTGGAGAGAGATCGCGACGACAGTCCGAGCCGGGCCCAGATCGGCGCGCACTCACACTCGCGCGTGCGTGTTCTCCCATTCCCGCACCGTAGGCATTGGCAGAAGCACAAGAGGCTGCATCGGCCGCAAGGCCAAGAGGAAGGAACGTCGCCGAGAAGAGGGGGGAAGCATGGCCGTCGCCTTCAGCATCGCCATGGAGGCACGCGGGCGGCACGGCGGCTCGGTGGACAGCCCGGGAGGCTGGGCCGGCCCCAATGGACACTCCGTCTATGGGGTCACCGCTCAGGGTAAGGAGCTGCATTCATCCGTACAATGCTCACATTCACAAGCACCGTGCGGTCTCTGACCCACAGATGGGGTCCCAAACCCTGTGGAGTTTTTGTATCATTTTCTGAGGCTGACCAACATGCTCCATGTCATGCCATGTGACATTTTCGTTTGGGTTTTTTTTAGTTTGTTGTCCTTTCCCCGCACCTCCGATTAGCATGGTTGGCTACATACGATGCGAAAGAAGTTCAATATACATACAAACTGATTTTTATTCATTGTAGATGTCAATACCTGGGCTAGGAACGAATGCGGTTCTAATGATTTGTTTGATGCTTTTGAAATAAAGCATTTTTTCAAATATTGCCAATTATTCTTCATCCAGTTTTGGGATATATATTTTTAGGCTTTCTGAAGTCCGATGAATGGTCAGGAAGAGACGATGGAATATCATCGATCATCATAATCATGATCGACAGCCATGATCCATCTACTGCTGGACGAATGCCTCCCCACATTTTCGCCATCCCTCACTGTTTTGAGCCCCCAGTCCGTTTCGTTGCTGTAGATTGCCTCGTCCTATTGCTGCTCCATCACCACCGCGAGCATCTCCTGGGGCCTGTTCCTTACGTTCGGTGCTATTTCATCACCAGTCCCGTACCGTCACCCATCATCCCCTTGCAGCGGCGTGTACTGTCCACGCTCACTTACAATCAGTATGATGGCTCTAATATTCGTGTATTTTTTTCCTTATGCGTGTGTTCATATTTTCGTCTCTCAGTGTAATTCCCAGCATGCATCTCTCCATACGTTCTTTGTGTTTATTTTTTGTTAACATTTCTTTGTCACGATCCATTTTTCACATCCACGTGTTATAGCAGGGCATACATGCACATTGGTCTGTTGCCTTTCAATATCAAATATAATGTTCCAAAACCCCTCCAGCATGCTCTCTCTCACCTCAATTTCATATTTTTTTGTATCCCTGCCTGCCCACGATAATTTCCCTAGATACGCAAATCCTTGTGTCCCTCAAAAACATAGATTTTCTTTTGGAAAGCAAAATATTTCTCCATGGCTGTTGTTGTGCTCCAATGTAACGTTAGCCGACCACTGCAGCCTCCTTTGCTAAGTCCTTCAATCACTTTCCCGTAATTTATTTACATTTCTTGTTGTCATCAACAACTTAGGCGGTTAATCTCTTCTCCGTTTATGTTTGTGCCTCTGTATCTCCAATATAATGTCGCTGTCAGTAGCCTTGGGGAGGGTTTGTTTCCTTGCCTGATTTGTATTTTGTTACTTTATCCAATCTCAGTGTTAGACTGTCCCATCTTTATAAACGGGTTTGTTCATTTTTTATTTTAAAATATCCATTTATTTTGTAACCTTGAGTTTGTGAGGCGCTCGATGAATGCATTTTAGATTACGTTGCATCAAATTCCTTTCCAGAGTCGACAATACCTGAGCACAATGCTACTTGATATTCACATTTTCTGAACCCAGTTTGCCCACTTGCTTGGCTTGGCCTCTTCATTGTTCCGAACAAAGCATAACTGTATATCAGCGTTGTGTCCTTTGAATGAAGGAATTAATGTGACATAATTGCATGATTGTAGTCTTTCGTTTCTGCATAAACGGTAAATAGGTCTGATTATGTTGAGCCAAAAGCTGGTTCTACCTCTTTGGTGATGTCCACTGTTATTCTGTCTGGCCTGGGACGTTTCGCTTCTTGCTTACTACAAGTATTAAATCTGGAACTTTGTTTCCTGGGATATGTTTTTTTTTCATCCCGAGAGTTCATTAGAAGTCCACCGAAAAATGTATGATTCCGATTCAATCCGTTATGGTTCCATCTTACAGCAGTTGTACTGCTCCTGTTTACTTCCCTCGCTTCAGGTCTCTCAGCTTTTGTCCTCACGCTTTTCCCTTGAACAAGCACGGTCTCAAACCAACACCTTCTCTCTAGTAATAGAAGAAACGAGCATACAATACTTCCCCTTTATGCACATTCCTCCACTTTAAAACTAAAATGTAAGTCTTTTTTTTCTGTGACCCATTGGCCCCGCGGCCTTCTGGGAGGCCGTAATTTCAGCAGCATCCATTCTGTGCAAGAACACTCTGCACGGGTTTCATCGTAGTGTTTTCATCAGCAGAGTCAGGCTTGCCTGAATGCTTGCTTCTCTCTAATGGGTCCCTTCTTCTCAGTCACCCTCGATGGCCTGACATTCATCCATTTCCCCCCACCCCGACCATCTGCCCCACATACTCTGGGATGCTGGTTAAATTTAGGTTAAAGACCTCCGTCTTCTCCTCTACCTGCCTCCCGGAGCCTGCACACAATTCCTTGTAAAGTGCTCATATGTCTTGCTCTGGGTAAATCTGTGCATGAGTCACCCTTAATTCCCATTCCTCTCCATGCATCTCCGGGTACCAGACTATAAACCCTCATTCGAACCTACATCCATTCCAAAACACTCTCACTCTATACGTAATTGTACATATCTCTATGGTGTAGAGGATCTCATCAGAATAAATAAACATTCTGATCTCATATTTGGATGATTCTACTGAGTATGCATAAATCCAAATTTCCGAAAATTTTTTAAAGAAGACAGATGCTCTTCATCATTATAATTATATTATTATAGTATATTGACACAGTGAAGGAACGGTATTGTCGATAATATACCATCTTTGGCCAAATTAGCCTCGCAATTTCATAGATAGCCCTACTACAGAAACGTTTTAGGTGATGGTATTGCTTTACAGCACAGGTAGCTCTGGATACATTCCTCACACCAGGCACCCACAAGGCCCCAACTCTCAATGCACCAACCCAGAGGTGTGGACTCGAGTCATGTGACTTGGACTCGAGTCAGACTCGAGTCATGAATTTGATGACTTCAGACTCGACTTGGACTTGCATAACAATGACTTTGTCCCACCTCTGCACCAACCTAACCCTCGCCCACTGCACCATGTCATCAACTATTCGCATTTCCATCACATACCCTTCGGCCACTGTTGATCTTCTATACCCCTCAATCATTGAATTTTTCCTTCTGTGCCCACGTCCCTTCATTTGCACCACGTTCCCTTTCCATTTCCATTCTCCGACTCCCCCAGTAAAGAACCTTTCTCCAGGATAATTACAGTTTGTGATAATTCTGAGAACCTGATGATGACCACAGCTGACCCAAGTCCATGCCCGCCATCCCCTACTCCCCTGCTCTTGTCTCCATCCTCATGCTTCCCCTTTGAGCCTTACCTCTCTCCGTCCCACTGTCTCCCTCCGATCGCTTGGCTAATTCCCGCGGCCATATCGCCACTCGCTCTGACAAGTTATTCCTGCCACGAGGCTGCGTGTATCCTCTCAGCGCTCACAAGTTCCCTCGCTTCATCTCGTAAACGTAACAGCATCGTAGTAGCAACAATAATAGTCCTCGACAACATCACAAAGCACCGCGTGTTTTGCAATATCCAGTAGAAATAACACCGCAGCCATTAGTGATATGCCAGTCCTGCTTTGCTAACTCACAGAATAAACAACAACGTGATAGAAGCAGTTCGGAGCTTGTGCATTAAAACTTGACTGCCTCTAGTAGATGTTTAAAATACTCTCCATTTTATAAACATCTGTGCAAAAACACGAGGGCCATTGAAAGCCCGTCAAGATATTGAACCTCACGGAGGCTTTCACCTGGTGAGCAAACGTGACTCATCGTGACGTGCGATATGATGTCATAGTTTCAAGTTAATTTTCTATAACCAGCTGAGAGCTCAAGAGACCAGCAGGCTCGTTCGCACGAGCGACCTGGGCCATAAAATTGCAAAGCAAACGAAAATAAGTTACAGCAGTGAGGAAAATAGAAACAAGAGCAAAAACAACCGTGTCATATGAGAAAATACAAATACTGCCTTGTACAAACATAAATCGGTGTTTTTTAATACATTCCCCTACCATAAGTTCACTTTTGCGGAATATTACCTCAGATTATCACCTCAGATTATCACCTCAGATTATCACCTCAGATTATCACCTCAGATTATCACCTCAGATTATCACCTCAGATTATCACCTCAGATTATCACCTCAGATTATCACCTCAGATTATCACCTCAGATTATGACCTCAGATTATGACCTCAGATTATCACCTCAGATTATCACCTCAGATTATTACCTCAGATTATGACCTCAGATTATGATCTCAGATTATCACCTCAGATTATCACCTCAGATTATCACCTCAGATTATCACCTCAGATTATTACCTCAGATTATCACCTCAGATTATCACCTCAGATTATGACCTCAGATTATGACCTCAGATTATCACCTCAGATTATCACCTCAGATTATCACCTCAGATTATCACCTCAGATGATTACCTCAGATTATCACCTCAGATTATCACCTCAGATTATCACCTCAGATTATCACCTCAGATTATCACCTCAGATTATCACCTCAGATTATGACCTCAGATTATTACCTCAGATTATGACCTCAGATTATTACCTCAGATTATGATCTCAGATTATGATCTCAGATTATTACCTCAGATTATTACCTCAGATTATTACTTCAGATTATGATCTCAAATTATTACCTCAGATTACCGCAGATTATCATCTCAGGTTATTTGACATTGTGCCCGGCCTCGTAGTGCCCTCTTAAGGCTCACATTGTTATAACGCTCACGTATTGTTCCCGTGCTACGAGTTAAGAATATATATTTGAGCCCTATACAAACACTGAACAACTCTTTGATCAATGTGGGCAGTTTTCTCGAGGACAAGTCCATAATAGCAGCAAAACCACGTTACAGAAAGACCGACAGACAACCAGAGCTGAGGAATTCATGCTTTTGAGCTTAGTAGCAAAGCGACTAATAAGATTGGATACATTAAACATCGGTATTTGGCCGTTTACATAGAATAAGGACATTGTGATAATGTCCATTATCAGCTGTGAATTCTGGTGTCTGCGGAGCTCTGCTCATCACTGAGCTCCTCTCCATCGATCCCAGCGATAATTGTGATTGTGTTTCGGCAGCGGAACATAATATCCACAAGATAATGGCGTTTCATGTCAAATATTCCATACATATGGTGTAATGTTAACGTTGTACTTTGCACGTATTTTTTTGAGAACATGTAAAAAAAAAATCTCATTTGCATTGATGTGTGTGCGATTAATCTATCCAATTAAAAAGCCGATTGTAATCAATCCAGCTTGGTGGTTCAGCGGGAGAGCGAGTGGAACTTTTGAGGGAAAGTAACAGCGGGGTTGTCGTATGGAAAGACTTGCCACCCCCCTCCATAGAAATGTGGAATTTCCATCACTGACTCGGGCTGTAAACAGGAAATGAGCACTGCCACAATCCTCATTTTATTTTTAAGTTAATGAAATACAAATACGCAGAATGTTTTGACAAGGAAGACGGTAGATTATAGAAATTTGAACAAATGGATGAAAATTGGGGTATTTAATGCAAAGTTGTTAAGTAAACATCATGGACAGACCAAAATGGAAGGAAAGCTGTGATAATTATTGATAATCAACGTCTACGAGACAGGACGCAGGACGCGGCTCACCGATAGAGAGAGACACACACAAAATGCACACCAATGCAGAATGCTTGCTGGGGTACATTAAACGTTGGCTTGTGAACACAGGTTTCTGTGAACACAGGTATCTGTGAACACAGGTGTCTATGAACACAACATAAAAACACATAACAGGTGGAGCCACGGCAAGAAGGCCACTGTCTCCCAGCCCTGTGAACCTGGCAGTGAACCGCTGTAGTCTGGGCTCCTTCACCGGAGGAGTAGGAAGATAAAAACGACGCGAAATCTCTGACTCTCTCTCGCTCCTGAAGCCCTCTCGCAGCTGCAGACCTCAGACGTCAGCATTAAGCTCGTGCCATAGGCCAGACTAGAATAGAGAGGCCAGAGAGGCACAGTGGATAGGAATTGGATACAGGGTGCTTAATTTTTTTGAACACTTCTGAGAATTGGCAACAATGCCACAAGACATGTGCCTCCAGGCTCTGGAGACCACCTGGAGAAGATTCCAGGCCATGCGTTGGCAGCGATGGCAAACAAGTGGAGACTCTTTGACTTGTTTAAGCTCTTAACATACATTTGTTATCATGTTACAATGTATTATTCGTTATTTTTTCATTAAAAACGATAGTCCCATATAAGTGTTAATATTTATTTAAGCACCCTGTATATATACTATTGGGCTTGATAAGAATTCAATAATTTAAAAAAATCCTGGTTAACAGTGTTTTCCATATTCCACTTAGTGATGTACTCCTGGGTTGAATCCTCGAAATGTTGACTGAACCCACGTACATGTCACTGATTAGTGACATTCCACGAGTGACACTTTTGTGACTCTGCTGCACAGTATCTGCATGTCACCAGGAGTCCATTGCTAATTGCCTGAGATGGCTTTCAAATCAATGATGGAAATGAGTAAACGGTTCCTAAAGATGTTATACATTCTAAACATTTGTAGAAGTCAATGATTTGTTATCCAAAGCTGTTCCTTGTTATCCACAATGATCTCAAATGTTTTAGTGCCCCTGGTTATATTGATGTCATATTGCCACCAATTACTTAATGAAGCTAGAAATAATTGTAGTGTTGTTAGTAAATCGATACTCATTTACAATTTATGTATGTTGCACCAGGAATTGAAAAACATTTCGACCGTGTTTCGAAATAGAACCGACACAATTTGCATGCAGCGTACAGTTGAGTACTGTATGTATTATTTGCAGCGCTGGCTATTTGAAATTAAATTCATTTTTGTGAAATAATAATTTTATCCAATTCCAATCTAAATTTAACTATTCACAGGAGCATAGTACTCTGCATCATACGTATTACAACAGGTTGTTTTTTTCTTTCACGGAAATGCAATATCAGTTAAGCTTTCTACTCTTTGTTCATTATCAAAACAAATCCAACACTCTTGTTTTACACCCATCACCGTCGAGGGGATGCGGTATACGTGAGCTGGAAGTCGTGAGCTGAAAGAAGGTTTTTAGTGGGGTCTTTTCTTAACATACGTATTGGTGAGCTGCAGCTGTATTACAACTATGTTTGTTCCATGTATCCTCACACCTGTAAGTTTTAACCATAGTTATTTCATTTTTTTTAAGTAACCGCCATTTCCAAATTTTTTTTTGTTTTCTCCATCATCATCATCATCCTCATCATTGTCAATTCCTTAAACACCTTACGCCATCTTTGTATGTATGTATGGTGAACTTCTTTCACACCGTACATAGCCAACCGTGCTAATAGGTGCTAATCTTTACCGTAACCATTACAACGGATACTTCATGACGCCCTCTCTACACATCCAACAACGCCCATTAATCTCGATGCACAATTCGCATGTACGTTTGGAGTTTGCATGTTCTCCTCGTGGTCACGTGGATTTTTCTCCGAGTTCTCCGGTTTTTCCCTCCGCATTTAGAATCAACATCACGCGTTTAGAATATTTGGCTGCTATAAATTTCCACACGATAAGCCACTTCGTTGAGCTATCATCTATGGCCAGGTCGCTAAATAGCTCAGTGGGCCTTACTTGGTAAAATAAAAAAAGAGTTTCACAGTTTACTATCGCAACCTTTTGTGATGCTCGCCGCAGTTCCGCAGCCGTCGTTGTCGACCCGTGACTCTCCCCCCCCCCCCTTTCTCCACGTCCCCCCCCCCGCTGACGCCCGAAGGCGGTGGCGATGCCGACCCCAGGGCACCGTCGCGCTCGCCGTCCCCACCGTCGCCGCCGCCGTCCTCCTCCTCCCCGTCGGCGTCGTCCTCCTCGCCGTCCCTGCAGTTCCCGGCGGTGCCCGGTGGGCCCAGCCCGGTCATCCACAGCCCCCGCGCCGCCCTCGAGTTCCCGGGCGTCGTGCAGGAGCTGCCGGCCGCCAACACGTTTGTGTCGGCACGCGCCGCCGTCCGCACCCCTGGCCAGGCCGGCCCGAGCCCCCCATGCGCCCGCGAGCCCGGGGACTCCGTCACCGAGTGCGGAGGCTCCAAGTCGGTCTGCCGCAACGCGGCGTGCGACTGCTTCGAGGTGCGCGGCGCGGGCGACAACGACCGCAGCCTGCGCCGCCACCACCACCAGCAGCGCCAGCCGCAGCCGCAGCAGCAGCAACGCCACGAGGAGCGTATGCCGCACCACCGGCTCGAGAATCACTTTGGGTGCCAGGCGGCCGACGTGCCCGCGGGCGCCGCACGGGAACTCTCCGACTTGGCCGCCAAGAGCTCTGGCGATGACCTCCTTGGGTCCGAGAGCCTGGGAGATGGGGGGAAGGTGACCGTCATGATGATGATGGTGAGAGACGGGGAAAGGAACCTCGCGGAAGATTGCACCGGCCACGTTCACGTGAGTGTGCACGTTTAATGCTCCCAATTATGCCGAATGCTTTGCGACTTTATACCTGGTTGTCATTTTTCATGTTGTGTGTCGATAGAATTTACTTTGAAATATATGTGTTTCCTTTGTACTCTTCAATTTTGTGCTTAGACTGAATTTCATAAGGATGGGAGCAAAACCACAGAACATGTGACGTCGTGCGCATTGCAGAAGGACACTTCAATACGATGTATTTTGCTTCATAACTGTTGTTTTTAAAGAGAGAAAAGTTATCCTACTTATGTACTTTATAAGTGTTTAAAAAAAAAGAGAAAGGTTATACCACTATAGAAATTATAATTGTATAGTTTCTCCAATTACAGTGCACAAAAAAGCCATGAATCGTTTGACGATGTAAAAAAAATGGCAAGTGGTTATCTGTGAACTTTTAAATAAAACTTCGAGTGATCGGTCACAACCCTTCCAAATGTTATAATTTCTGAGGTTTGCCGACAGCTTTAAGGATATTTCACAATTACTCTCTGGAACAGCTTAAAGATGGCCCACAACACGCCAGCGCTTGGATATAGGGAGCAATTTATTTTAACTAAATTTATCGTCAGTAGTCTACAAAGGCAGAATGTTGCATTGATGATGGATTTTTTTTAACAACACTGTGAGATGCGGTTTTGCATGAACGACGCTGTATAAAACATTATTATAGTTCCATATTTAAACAACTGAGTTATTTTAGTGAGACATTAGGCATTACTTTGTTGTGACATTTTCAGAACCGACATAGGCTTATAACAGACCAGTTCTGTTTTACCATCTGGATTACATACACATTTTAATTATAATCAAATTGTACATTGTACTCAACTTTACTTGCATCCCACCTCTGTCCCACATACACTCACTTATGCATCCCCCACCGACGTAGTCCTCTCCCATCTCGCTTCCCACGTGGAAACTGTAACAGCTTGGATATTGACGCTCTTCCCATCGCTGGTGCTGCTGTGCACAGCCATCGCTCTACCCCAACCCACACCCCGAAACCTCCACCTGCCCCTCGCTCGCAGTCGTTTCTCCCGTCCTGGCACGGATCAAGGAACTGGTAAACAGTCCCCTGTACAATCAGTGGCCGAGTGCCGGACAGATTAAACACCATTACCGTTCACCAAAGTAGGATTGGAATCGATCGATTCCGATGCTGTGTGCACATTTTTATTTCAAACTATCCAACGACTGCGCTTTGTTTTTGTTTAAGAAAAATTCTGTGTTCATTGGTGAGCCAATTGACGTTTTTAGTAAGGTGACAGAACTCGTTCGTTATTATTCGTAGGGTTTCAAGGTTGCTTTGGTAGAGACGGTTAAGTCCGAGTTTTGCTTTGAATGGGACCTGATCGGCACGCGTATTTATTGGCTCATCACACGGTACCAGATCAACCAAGTACAAACATTTTACAGGATTATATATATTTTTTGAAAATAAACTAATAATGATCAAGTATGCTTAAAACCACATGATTCCTTCGAGAGGATGTAGTCGAAAATGTAGGATCCTATGTGGCTTTCCCTTGACACGCGAAGGTTATGGGTGTGATTCCAAATTGGATAAACAATGCATTTGTATTTACAGTGGAAAACAGTGAGTTATCGCAATCGCCACCGGCTCTTTTATATTCATCAGCGTTGGCGTCTGTGCAGAGGTAGACATCCCACACAAGCCGCCACCACCTACACCGTGGACAACACAAAGGCCCGGGCACTCAGCCAGTCGAGGCGCCCCAGTCATGTGACCTACGCATTTACGAGTTGAGAAGAAGTTGTTGTTCTTGTAGAGCCAAGTTGAGTAGCACGATGATGCTGGCTCGCTGTGATCGTCGTGGTCCTCTTGTCGTGACTCTCGCCGCTGACGGTTGGTCGGTGGCTTTGCTACTCGTGAGAGTGACGACGACGTCGAGGTCGGTGGCTTTGCTACTCGTGAGAGTGATGACGACGTCGAGGTCGGTGGCTTTGCTACTCGTGAGAGTGATGACGACGACGATGTCGGTGGCTTTGCTACTCGTGAGAGTGACGACGACGATGTCGGTGGCTTTGCTACTCGTGAGAGTGACGACGACGACGATGTCGGTGGCTTTGCTACTCGTGAGAGTGACGACGACGACGATGTCGGTGGCTTTGCTACTCGTGAGAGTGACGACGACGACGATGTCGGTGGCTTTGCTACTCGTGAGAGTGACGACGACGACGATGTCGGTGGCTTTGCTACTCGTGAGAGTGACGACGACGACGATGTCGGTGGCTTTGCTACTCGTGAGAGTGACGACGACGACGATGTCGGTGGCTTTGCTACTCGTGAGAGTGATGACGACGACGAGGTCGGTGGCTTTGCTACTCGTGAGAGTGACGACGACGACGAGGTCGGTGGCTTTGCTACTCGTGAGAGTGACGACGACGACGAGGTCGGTGGCTTTGCTACTCGTGAGAGTGACGACGACGACGATGTCGGTGGCTTTGCTACTCGTGAGAGTGATGACGACGACGATGTCGGTGGCTTTGCTACTCGTGAGAGTGACCGACGACGACGATGTCGGTGGCTTTGCTACTCGTGAGAGTGACGACGACGACGATGTCGGTGGCTTTGCTACTCGTGAGAGTGACGACGACGACGATGTCGGTGGCTTTGCTACTCGTGAGAGTGACGACGACGATGTCGGTGGCTTTGCTACTCGTGAGAGTGATGACGACGACGATGTCGGTGGCTTTGCTACTCGTGAGAGTGACGACGACGAGGTCGGTGGCTTTGCTACTCGTGAGAGTGACGACGACGATGTCGGTGGCTTTGCTACTCGTGAGAGTGACGACGACGAGGTCGGTGGCTTTGCTACTCGTGAGAGTGATGACGACGACGATGTCGGTGGCTTTGCTACTCGTGAGAGTGACGACGACGACGAGGTCGGTGGCTTTGCTACTCGTGAGAGTGACGACGACCGAGGTCACGTGACAAGGCGCGCCGAGCCGCAGATGGGCGGCTAACTGTTTGTGACATATCTGCACCTACACGGGCGTCGTCGACACTTGCATTGGCTTCCGGTTACTGAACGAATGCAATGGAAGGTCGAACTCATCACACACAAGGCGCTTGCTTCAAAAGAACCACAACACCTTGCTGATGTCGTCAAGGAGCATGAACTATCACGCAAACTCCGGTCATCCTCGCAACCATCGAACGAAGACGGTCACCGCATTGCGCATTTTCAGATTTGCTTTTGCAGCCGTCTGGAACGCTCTTCCGTCCTAAATGAAGAAGCCATTGGAGCTGTGCACTTTTAAATCATCGAGATTGACAAACTCATTTCTGTAGAACGGCTTTTTTAAGTTTAATTTGTTGTCCTTCCCCCCACGTCTGATTAGCACGGTTGGCTACGTACGGTGCGATAGAAGTTCAAAACACAGACATACAAGCTGAAATCTGTGTGAACGTCAGCTCCAGAAGGGACTGTTTCCAGTTATACACGACACTTGCTGTCGATATATTTCTATCCTCACAAGAAGATGTTGGCCTTTATGATGCCCCAAAAGATCTATAAAGAGATTATGCTGAATTTGAATGATGTAGATTGCTCTTTGATTTTGAAATGAGGGCGGCAGAGAGTGTACCAAGTGTGTAATATCATCGGTGTAGAACAGAATTAGAATGTGTTGAAGGTTTCGGCATAATTTGATCATTCAGAAGGAGAGGAGAGGTCTCAGGGGTTGTGTAACATAATTTTATAAATTGATTCTGTTTGATAGAATGGTATGAAAGCAGCGTGGTAATGTACAGCTTATTGCACTATTAATTTGATGAAAGGACGAAAGGATTGTCTAACATTAAAAATAGGCATCACGAGCTTGCATCATCGTCATCATTCCCTTGTATCGTGCTAAATAAAACTGTAAACTGTTTTATTTTTCCAGGTAAGGCCCACTGAACTATACAGCTCTTTTTCAGAAGCGATCCTGGCCACAAGTGATCGCTCAACAAAGTGGCGTATCACGTGGACATTTATAGCAGCCAAATACTCTAAACGCACGTTGAATTAAAATGTGAAGGGAAAAACCAGAGGACCCGGAGATGAATACACACGGCCACGGAAAGAACACGCAAACTCCAAATACACAGGCGTCAGGGTCGGGATCGGGATCGAACCCACGCACTCCTGTGGAGCAGGCAAGGCAGTTAGCATCTCGCCACCGTGGCACCCCAAATAACCTTGTTGTATTCAGAGGACTGACACAATACACTTCCTGCTCTGCTAATGTGCAGTTGTGCAAGATCTGGGCGACCATCTGTGATGACATTAGAGGGTTGTCATCTGGTAGCAAAAAAACAAAGAAACTAAATAGCGCACACAATTATCAGGGTGATGCCCCAATTACTTTGCAATTTTTACCCAAAACACATTGACGTAAGTTTCATCATGATGAAAACACTTCTTGAAACGCCCTTGTCTATATGAAAAATAACCGTTGTGCTTTTATTATGGCTGAAATTACATTTAAATATTTTTCTAAATACGAATGCAATCCCAGGACACTTGGAAATAAAAGGGCAATGTGTGTGCTCCCTCCACCAAATTACTCATTTGCTCTTCCTCATAATGGCCCTACATGTTGAGTGCTTAACAAACACGAGTGGAATTTGCAAAATGAACAAAATCGATGCACAGTCACGCAAGCCTTTAGCCCGGGTGTGCCCGGCTGACACCGCGTGCACCAACCCACGTCTCAATGCAACCTTGCCGGTGACATGTGCTGGAAATGCACGTGGTATTGTGGTTGTTTGTTTAATTGCTATTGATATACTGCATATGAGTACAGTCGTGACATGAGTTGATCACGACGTTTTGAAAACGTGACATTAAACATGCATGCCTATTAATGATATTTTTCATCTGAAATGTTCATATGTGACTAGTTTGTATTCAGTAGTAACCACATTTTTATCAAACAAGCCCAGCATTATGCTGGTGCTATATGTT